GTTTATATATAAATTTCTCCTCAAGCATCTATTTTGAGAAAACAAATTCTACAATTCAAGATTTCATATGATACTACATCACGGTGAATATTTTGGATTCAAAAGCATTCCTCAATTGCATATAGCAACAGGGCAAAATGAGATGTCAAATTGTGAAAATTGTCAAAACACTTAGAATTTTTTCTAAGTGTCAAACAACTTTAACTTTAACTTTTGATGGCCATTTTTCTTTATGATGCAAGATTAATCAATGCAAGGGTTTAACATCAAATTTGAAGTTCATGAACCCATATTTCTATTGATACCAAGAGCAAGAATTTTTGTTGCTTGAGCAAGAAGTCATGATTTTGCAAAGTAGTCATGGTAAGGCTATTTGGTGGACATAATTATGCATCAAAATCAAGTTAAGGTCTTGTTCTAGGTTTCTATGCAATGTACCAATCCTTTGGATACAACATAGCATGCATTATCTCTGCACACAAGACTCCATACACAAGCCTCAAACTTTGCCAAAAGTGGTGCAACCATGAGCATGTCACATAAGGCATTTTTCCAAATTTTCCAAAAATACACTTCATGCAAAAACTTGATCAAGACTTCTACATGAAGTTTGATCTGAACACACTCATTCTAAACCTCAAATACAAGTTATCCAACCCTAAAACAAGAGCTCAAAATGACCATTTGGAGCCAAAACCAAACCTTAGCCATGGTGTACCTCATTTCCACTTTTGTTTTAATTAAGCTAGTGAGAAGCATTGAGACCTCAAGAGCTGTCCTAAACATATATCCTAATATAAACCAAGATTCTATAAAATCTAACACAAGACCATTGTTGTTGTACATAAAGGATCACCATCAAACACCATTGTTGCAACCTTGAAACCAAATTTTCGAAAAGCATTTCTCCTTCAATATTTTGACATTTTTTCTTCACATACACCATCCATACACTAAATAAAAACTTCTGCGTGCATTAATACATCACTATAATCTCTAAACTGTGCAACCCAACCTCCATTTTTTCACTTTGCAACTTGACTTAAGGGGAGAGTTTGAAATCATTTCAAAGCAAACCACACATATCAACACACTCCTAGGGAATCAAGGGAGTTATAAGCTATCTTCTTTTCTTTCTGTAATAACGTTTAAATAGGCATCAAGCTCTCTCTGATAGGTACATTTTCACACCCTTGGTTCTCATACTTGCAAACATCTTTTTCATCCATTCTTTTTGCAGTTATGTTTGTATTGATGCCATGAATAGAAGTCCTAAACTATTATGCCTTGATTGTTCATGTATAAGAATTAATTTTACTTGGAAATTTCTAAGGTTTTATGGTTTTCTCATTCATGCGTGTTATTCATTTAGCTTCAATAAAATTTATTTTATTTGATGTATTTTGTTTAAGTTTTGTTTAGGTTCTTTTTCATTTTTTCATTTGATTTTTTCTTCATGTTTTGCTTGATTAAACTTTAACCTAAGTTCAAACTTGTTTCTTATTTCATGCCTTGGTCTTTTATTGATGATATGTCTCTTTTTTCTTGATGATATGATTAATTGGTTTGATTTAGGATTTTATATTAAATTAAAGCATGATATATATGAATGTTTGTTTTGTTGTCTAAATATTCAAAATCCTAGTTTTTCCATATTGCTTCTTTTTCCTTGTACCCTCTTCTTTGATTTTTGATGTGACTTTGATGTTTGTCCTCATAGGTTTAGGATTTATTTTGTTTGAATGTCTAAGCATGATGCTAAACCCTAATACCAGAGTTTGTATGATTTGATTTTGGTACTTTATCATGTTGAATGTCTTTGATGCTTGAACTTAATGTATGACTTAATCTTGACATGACTTGTCATTTTCATTATAAACTTGTGGTATGAATACCTTGATCATTTTCTTTACCATGTCATGGTATATGTCTTCATTGATTTTTTTGGTGTAAGGTACTTATGCTTTATGAATGATAATAACGTGTTCATATGCTTACTTGTTTCACATCCTCTTGCTTGAGCTTTTGCCATGATACTTGTCTTATCTTGTTGATTCATCTTGACTTACCATGCCATGAGTTATTTGTTTGATACTTGTCCACACTTAATGCCATGCATGATGATCTTCCTTAGGGTTTAGTCCTAGCCCCACCATGTGTAGATAATTCATACTATATCTTGTGCACTTGTTACCTAATCTTGACCTTCACTTGATTAATTTATGGCATGTTATTTGATTCTTACTTTGATAATTGCATTACTTGACTCTGATGCCCACTTGGTATGTCTTGATTAGTCATGATGTTTACCTTTCCGTATTTCTTGAATGATCTTGATGTTTACTTTAACATGTTGATTTGTTTAAATCTTGATCTCTATCTTGTTTTGATCCTTGATCATTATTTCCTTTGCCTAGTGAGAACTTTTCTTGCTATTTGACTTTTTTTGATCATATGCTTGCTTGTTAGCTTGTCTTGGCATGTTTAAATGTTTGAATATTGATTGATACTTAATTAATTGTTTTGTTTAAAGCTTGATGATAATATTTGCCTTAATTAGTCTTTGTTTCTTGTTTGTTCATTTGATGTTGTTGATCATTACTTGTTTGATTCACATGCTCCCTTATGGTTGCTTAGTCCAACTTAATCTTTGATTAAGATTTAGGTTGAGTTAGACATTAGGCTCAATCCAAGTATGACAACTTCAATTAGGGATCCCCATTTCATTCCAAACTTAAAGACCATCATTGTATGATAACATTAGATTATATTCTCTTCAATCTCAACCTTAAGTCCACTTGATATGATAACATTTAGGATCAAGTTTCCCTTTAGATTTCGTTTCTTTCTTTTGCATCTTCTTAAAACAAACTTCCTTTTCTTAATCAAAATACCAAAAAAAAACAATTAACAAATAATGATGAGGGTTGTATTGCCATGAGCCTTAAGTAATGGAGAAGAATGAGGCGGTGTATTTTTAATCTTGTTCTTCTTCCATTCATAGACTTTAGTACAATTCAATTCATAAACCATTTCAAAACTAAGAGAGGTGAAATAACTAAGTGCTCCTGTATTGGATAACATTTACCATTATCCTCAACAAAACACTTCAACAAATTCAAATTTTTTTGCCTTAGGGCCTTTTTCCTCTAAATTTTTTTCAAAAAGACATATTAATTCCATTATACACAATACAACAATGCGTGAGTCTCCAAAGGTCGAGCGGAAAACATTAATTGTTAGAATGCGAACTTAGCATCATCCATAAAAAACACACAACAAACAAACAGTTTTTAGAAGAACCGGAGTTCTAATTCCCCTTGGGATACGTAGGCACTGAGTTGCAAAACTCGGACAAACTCAATAATAAAAATCTTTTGTTTTTCCTCATTAATTCATTGATGCATTTCCTTAGCAAGTAAAGCCTTTAGACATACACACCCTTTGATTAATACAACAAGAGGGGATCTCGTTGAGTACAACAAACGTGAGGGATGCTAATACCTTCCCCTTGCGTAATCGACTTTTGTACCTTTCTCTTGGTCGCAAGACCATGTTCTTTTCCTTCTTAGAGATTTTCTTGATATTTTCTTTTCCCTCTTTGGGATAAATAAAGTTCAGTGGCGACTTTATTATTTTAATATTTTTTTCGAGTTGCTTTAGTATCTAAGTACCCTTACCCCTACCCGTTAACCACAGTTCTAGTAAAAATAAATCTATTAATTGAAAAATATCATATGATTTAATTTTTTTTTTAAATTAACAAAAAATTCAAAGATTTTATTATTTAATCATAATATAAATGAACACTTTATATGAAAATGTATAATAGTTTCATTATGATTTTTTTTAAAGAGATACATACATTTTATATGATGAGATACATTAAAGTATATAAATATACATTGTTTGAGTATGAGGCGGTGTGGGTAGTAAGGTACCTCATACCTACACTAATATTCATTTATTTTAATGGATAATTATCTGTACCCACACACGTATCTATTTTACAGGTTTTATCCTACTCGTTTTGGGTATTTTTGTAGGAACCTATTAGGTATGACTACAATTTTCATCCCAAGGTGGAGCCCTGGAGACGTCCATCCCAAACCAGTACAAAACCTGCGGGAAGGGACAAGAACCCCACCTTTGATCGGGTATGGTTCCTAGTGACGCTAAAGAGTAACATCAACTTTTCTCGTCTGAAACTAGTAACATCTAATCTTAGTTGATATTCTGATTCAGAGTTGTCAAAACTATCGAATTAAACAAGCACACTAAATCATATTAATAGGACAACTGACAACGAACTTTAAAGACCCGAAGAGGATAACAACAATGGGACATACCCCACTTACAAAACAATTAGGTTCGATCACTTTACTTTTGGCCTTAGAAGAAGAGTTGATTACTTTTGGAGAATATGTAGCTTGTTGATGGCTAATCGAGAAGAGATATTCCTTTGCCATCTTAAACGACATTGGTTGTCTCCTAGACAAGGTGATCGTGTTCTCCAAAGGGTATCTTCTTCCCATAAGTTTATATTTATTTTTGGTTCTTCAATTTAAAATATTATCTGGCTCATTTATTTTAAAAATTAGTTATTTTTCCCTAATTTCTTTTCTTATGGAATTTTTTACTCCCATCTTATTTCAAGATCATTTGAAGGTTAGGTTAAAAATTTGTCATTTGAGAATATTTATAGGAATTATTTTCATGTGTTAATTAATACAACTTATTCATAGTTACAAAATAGAAAAAGACAATATCTGCAAAATTGTACATTTTTTTCTTTCTAGTTTCTGTGTGTTCCTAACTCACTTATTGACATATAATTTTTTTGGACCCAAATTATTCTGTTTTCACAATCCATCAAAGTCTGAAGATGGAAAAGGGCCCTACACAAATCTACACAAGCTAATAAATACATAGATAATAATATTATAGATATACATAATATGATATAGTACTAGTGAAACTATATATTAAATTTAATTAATTCAAATCAAGGACTGAATAGAATAGTTGCATTTGAAGGAGTTAAGTCCACTGATATGTGCAAAGATATCTGAGGAATCAACCATATCATCTTCTTCTTTAACAGCTATCTGCAAGTACAACATGAAACGAATATTAATTAAACAATTATTCCATCAAATAATTGAAAATTTGATGACATTTGTAAAATGATTATTAAATGTGTACTTTATAAATAAAATTTTTGCAATTTTTTATAAAATAATATGAATGTATGTGCATAAGAATCTTACTTCATCATCAGTTTCATGGTTGCTACAAGCTGGCCTTTGATTCTCTCCAAATTCATCATTCTTTGCAAACCTTCCTCTAACTCGAGGCCGGCTATCGGCTAATGTTTTCCGGCAAGCATACTGCATATACATTTTCTTGCATTAGTAGATGAAGTTTAAAAATATAGAGGCATGTATGTGTGTATGTATGATGTATTATAAATTTTCTAGTACCTTGATTTTCTTGCTGAAATTTCTTTCATTTCTCTTTTTCATATATCTATGAATCTTCTCTTTCCTTTGCTCAACAGAAAGTTTTCCAACTTTTAAGGTAGAGTCCTCCAAATGTGAGATTTCTGGTGATAAAGTGGCGGAATTTCCAGCTACTAGTTTGTGATTCTCAGTACCAAGTGCCTATAAGAGAAATTATAGTTATCGACGACAAATATGGTTTTATTCAATATAAGTATCGTGTCTGATATCTGGTGTCTGGTGTCTGGTTCTATTCAATATAAGTATTTGTCATTACTTTATTAAAGACTATTCAATAGAAGTGGCTAGTCTGATGTATGTGTGAGAGTATCTTTGGAGACTATTGAAAGAGATATATTGTTAGAACCAATCATGAAGATGAAGATGGTTTTTTCTAATGATGCTGCTGTCTTTGTTAATTTTTTTTTTTTCTTGAAAGTTGTTATTCCTTTCTACTAGGCCAAATCAATAGTTTTTTTTTTAATGCAGCTGACTTTGTAAAAGAACTTAAATTATATGCTAGCAATAACTGTTTGATGTATATTGGCACTTATGAGTTTTCAGCTTAAGATATTTTGTGGACCATGACCTTTCTCTAAAAAGTTCTCTTCAAATATATGAAATTTTGACCTAGACACATAAACTTAAATTATATAAAAGTTTATGTAACACCGCAATAGCAAAAAAAGACATGTGTGTATACTGACACCAACACGATACTAACATTTGTAAGTACGTTTAAGTTTTTAAAATTACTTGAATGTTGATGTATCAGTGTCATGTCAGTGTTGTGTGTGGTGTCAGTGCGTGTCCCTTCTCTATAATGAACAAGAAACACAAGAAGCAATGAAAGAAAACATGATGATACCTGAAAATCCTGAGGATTAAACAGCTGCTGAACAGAATCTGTAGAATAAATTCCACCATTTTCACCTTGATAATCCAAATCTTGAGTCTGCATTTCAGAACCTAATAGAATTCCTCCACCAAACAAGCCAGAAGTGTCACCAGACAAACCACTAGCAAGATTTCCATGAGGCATATACACACCTAACCCGTTATTAAGATAAGAACAAGAAGGAGAATAAGAAGGAATAGAAGATATGCAATCATCTTCAAACACAGAACCGAAGGAAGCACCGATGAGAGGCGCCGAAACAGGAATGTGATCAGTTTGATGATACTGCGAAGATAGTCCTTTCAAAACTGAACATGTTGATAGCTGAAGAGGATTATGATGAGGTTGTGTTGAAGAGAAATCAAATTGTTGTTCCTGATGAGTATTGAGTGGAAGAAGCGACGGAACGAGGAAAGACTGCGACGATGTGAAGTCTATCGAAGCCGATATGTCATTGTCGATATCTTGTTGCGAATCGAAGATAATTGGAAGGTTATTATTGGTTGTGTTATTGTTGCTTGTTGTGCTTGTAGTACTATTGCTATTGCTATTGATGTTATTGTCTAAATCTAAAGCTTGTGAAATATTGTTTAAGGTATATGAAGAGTTATTGTTATTGTTGTTGATGTTGTTGATATTGATGTTGTTTTCTTCATGATGACAACAATTTGAGGTAGAAGTAACGTCAGAGTTTTGTTGGAGAGAGTCTTGGAACAAATCAGGGTCACAAAGTTCTAAAATTTGTGCACTAATATTTGGACTTGAAATTTCATCCTGTAATGTGTGAGATAAAAACAATGTAAGAAACATGATTATACTAAAAAAAAAGTAGTAAGCAATAGTAGCATATAAGACTTGGAATTTAAGAAAGAGAGTTAGTTGTATATAAATACAAGATGGAAACGTGATTCTCTCTAGAGTTTTTATTGATTATGGAGTTTGAAAAGTGAATCCAATTCTACTTTTTGATGATAGACACTAGTCTGTTCTGATCACTTAGAAGAGAAAAAAAGAAGTTCAAATTTTCAAAAGGGTATAATATTCTTTAATCAAATTGAAGCTTTGGATTGTAATTGTCTTTGTCGATTAGTAGGTATTCTAAAACAATACAAATGGTGTACTTTCATTGATGCACAAGATCAAAATTCAACAATAAATTTACGCTAGTGAAACCTTTTAGATACATGATTAATTATGTCTGGTAGATGATTAATGAAGTATAAATCATTAATCATCTACTTGACACTTTTAACCACGATTAAACATGATTGGTTAAACATGATTTTCTAAATGTATATATTTGTATATAATTTGAATACGGAAAAATAGTATTTGATTGTATCAGGTTGATGGTTAATCATTTCTGATTCTGTGTTTATTCATTAATCATCTACTTAATTTAACTTTTAAGAGGGTAAGGGTTGCATGTATGTCTCACCCGTCTTCTATTTTTTTTTAAGAGTGAACAAAAGTTTTAGACATTCATCTTAAATTATGTCCATTCAACCTATTTTTTTAAAGACATTTGAAGGCAGACATAAAACCCTTTTTAATCCCTAATTGATACTACTAGATAGCTTTAAGAGAATACTAGCACTTCATTGTGAAGTTGATAAGAAAACAAATCATTATGCAAAGCCTTGTTGGGGCATTCTACATATAACTAGTTGGTTGCATAGTCTAGTCAGTCTTTGTCCATAATTGGTAATAGACATATAAGAAATTCTCCAAAAAGTGATTTCTTTTTCAAGTCATTATTTTGAAAAAGAAATGCACAATTGCATCTATGCTTCATGTGTACACGTTGGAACCAAATTTACCTAATGTTAATAACATGAAGAGAAAAAAAAACACAAAGTAAAAAACAAAGAAGAACCTCATGCTATATGTTATTTCTCTTTTTCATTAAATGGAAATTGTCCTTCAATGGGAATTGAAAGCCACTTAAAGGAATTAACACTTTCATAATGCTATGCCTATATAAACTTTTTTGTCATAACATCAAAAACCCTTTTCTTCTATCTAACTCAAAAAAGAATATCAAAATTTGGAAAGCTTGCAAATGAAGCTCCAAAGAGATATAGATTCCACAGAAACTGAAAGCTATGTTTAAAATCACTATCAAGGAAATGTTACACTATTTTACTATTTTGCCCTTAGAAAATGACCTATTCATATTGAGGGGCATTGTCTTGAATAGGATAAATATTAGAATGAACAAAGCCTTACTCTCACGGAGCCTTTGATTCCTTCTTATATTTTTTCTAGTCAAAGAAAATATTATGCTTGCCAACTATATAAATATGAGGAAACAAAACATTATAGTCCTATAAATTTTGAGGATGTGTATTACATAGCTTCTTGTTTTTGCTACAAATAATAGTAATTAATAGTTATAACTAGCTATGTACCAAACTATCTACACACTTGAGAGACAAATTAAATTATTAGCATGAAACATGTAACAAACATAAGAAAACCATATTCATGATTCATGATTCTAATGCATGTAAAGATAATAAATTGCAACAAGACATAAATAAATAAATAAATAAATAAATAAATAAATAAATAAATAACCACTACTCTATTTAGCCACCAAAATATAAGAATAAGTGAGTGACCCAAATAAAAAAAAATAAAACCCTTTTCTCAAACAAATTAAAACTTGTCAAGTTCCAAATATCTCAAAACTCAGAAGTTGCATGCATGCATATACATGACACAAGACATGCATGCATTAACATTAGATATAAGATTATTGAGATAATTAACAAGGTTGAGGAAATTACAATGGATAGTTGTTCATCATGTGATGGAGGGTGGATAACATCTTGCAACATGGTGATTGGTGATGAATCTAAAATCCTCTTGAATGATAGGAAGCAATGAATTAGGTTTTTGTATATACAAATAATTTGGTGATATATATATATGTATATATTGTACACAAGTGTTTGTAAGAAGCTTGAATTTGGTAGTTAAAAGAATGGAAAGAAAAAATAAAAGTGGGGAAGGAAGGAGAGAAAGTGAGGAATATGTTATATAGAAAGAGAGAATTAATGTGAAATGGTTTAAGGAGGGAAGAGAGAGAAAGAGAGATGAGTTAAGAGAGAGAGTATAGTTAGCTAAGATGATGGAGAGTATGAGGGTGTCAAAAACAGAGAAAATTAGTTAAGTGCATATATAGACAAGGAAATGGGGTGTCAACGCGGGTGTCAACGCGATATTTATGTTTGGCCATTCAAATTCAATTCACTATTTTAGCTTTCTTTGGGTTAAGTGTAAATGTTTTATAATTATTACAATTTTAAACAAAACGAAAAATGTACTTGTATCTCACTTATGTTGACAAACCATTAAATGAAAAATCATTTGTACCATCATAAAAGTATTGCTCGATGATAATAAAATAATAATTTTAAAATATACTTTATATTGAAGAAATAAATGTTTAAGAAATAAAGAATATTTAATATGTCATCCTCACACTTATACATGACATCTTTTATTATGGATGTTTTTACCATTATATCCTCGTGAATAATCACCAAATTTCAAAAAACATGAGTTTTATTAGAAATTTTAAGAAAATTTCGGAAAAAAATATTCAGCGTTTTGAAAAATCTGGTACTTCACTTTTTGGGGAAAATTTTTTTTCACTATCGGAAATTTTAATATATTTCAAAATTTCCAGAAAAAAAATATGAGAAATTTCATTCTTTGACACTCCTCAAATTTATTCAGGGACATTTTTAAAATAAAATAAATTATGAGAGTGTCGTGTATAAATGTGTGTGTGTGGGTGTTTGGCATGTTAAATCCTCGTAAATAAAAGATAATTACAAGGTGTGGGAAAGTAAGGAGACCGAAACAAAGTAAATTAAAGCCTAAATTCAAAGGCTCATAATAGACTCGGGCCTTCAAGAAGTACGGTTGTGAGTGAAGAGAAGGAAAGTAAAGAATATGGAAATTTCTTATCCGATGTACTTAAAAAATATTTTATGTAATTTCAAAAATGCACCTCATTTTTTGGAGATGTATCTCCAAACGCACCTTTATTTGTAAAATGTTACATTGTTTCAAAGATGTATCTCTGTATTTTCTGTGAGTGTAATATCATGTATTAGATGTTTTGAATTATGTCAAAACTAGGAAATATATAGTATTTTTATATTGGACAACATCTCTTTATGTCTAGGTTGCATTCTCATACTAGGACACTTAAGAATTGAGTCAAAACCTTTTGGACATGTTAAGAACTTCAAAAATATGCATTTTTTTAATGAAAAATCGTGTTTGGAGTCGACTCACTCGTCGTGTTAGGAGTCGCTCCCACAGAACGAAATTTGAAAAGGAACTCTCTGGTCCAAAGGAGTCGACTCCCTGGATCTTGGAGTCAATACATAACACGAAGGAGTCGACTCCCTGGATCTTAGAGTCAATACATAACACGAAGGAGTCGACTCACACATGTTATGTATCAACTCCTATTGAAAGTTGTTTCAAAAATTAATTATCTGGTCCAGATGGGTCGACTCCCTCATATCCGAGGTCAATACATTACATGAAGAAGTCGACTCCCACGTGTATGTATCGACTCATATTGAAGCTAATTTTTCAAAATTCATTTATGTCCAAATGGAGTTGACTCCCAGGAAGTATGGGTTGAATCCCTCTTTGAATGGGTCAACTCCCACTGATCCAAATGTTAAATTTTATAATTTTACATTCTAATTTTATTTATTTCATTCTTTCACACACTCACACATATATATAGGCATTCATGCATCATTTCTCAAATACGAAACCACAAATATACAAAGCATAACTCATCATCTTCATTCTCTCTCAATACATACACACACAAAATTACACATAATCATTCTTTGTTGGCTGTCATCTAAAGATAGTTTGATAACGTCCAATTCGGATTCGGTGTAATCCATTGGGTTGAGAAATGTTTGGGGGTTTCAAATAAGAAAATCAAGATGGGGTTTTCCTTCAAGATCATTGGTGATTTAAAGGTTTTGGATAAGATTACGTAATTTGGATTCAGTCGAGTGTAAGCTTTGAAGAATAGTGGGTTCGGTCGAAGGAGTAACGGTAACCGAAGGATCACTTTGATATATTTTGGGTCACAATACGTTCACAATTTGGACTCATTCGAGTGAAGGCTTTGAAAAACAGAGGTTCTTGCAAAGGAGTAATGATAGACAGAGGATCAAATTGGAAGTATCGGGTTCACTTGATCGAGCTCAAGATCAAGAGAAGAGAAGATGATAGGATCAACATTATACCTAGGGTTTTGGATTGATGGATTACTACTTATTCTATTGTAAAACTAAATTTGCAAAAATTAATTTTCACTATCTCAATTCCGAATGAAATTGGGGGCATACATACCCATAACGAGGCCAATTGGGGAACTGCCTAAACAAGTCCTTGTCCCCCCCTCTCTCTCTCTCTATGTGTGTATGTATGTGTGTGTGTGTGTGTATATATATATATATATATATATATATATATATATATATATATATATATATATATATATATATATATATATATATATATATATATATATCCCTCTCTCTACTTTACTTGCATATTATGAAACCGTTAATTGTGCAATCGATACATAGAGATAATCTCTTTGATTAACACCTCTAACTATTTTGTTGACTTGATCACAACCTATGTGATTCTAATTGGTTTCTAATATCAAAAAAATTATACAAAAATCTATTTTGTGTCGATTGCAAGTTAAGTGTTCTACAAATTTCCTCACCTATTTTTTGTTTAATATTTCATAGGAAATTGATTATTATAATGTAGTTTATTCAAACTTGGTTTGTTGAAAATATATTGGTTGTTTTTCTCATCATACATAAATTCGTTATATTGGTTTAACGCATATCCGATCTTTTGTTTCTGTGTGCCATAGTTTAAACATTTTAAAACAAAATTTTAATTAAGAAATTTATTTTGCGATATATTGAGCAAGTGGTATCACGAGCACCTGTGTATCTTGTGATTCAAAATCACTTATTAGATAATGGATTTCAAACCTAAAGGGGTGTATAATAGAGCGCATGTTTTCAATGGCGAAAACTATGATTATTGGAAATATTGTATGTATATCCATCTTAATTCAATTGATAGGAAAGTATGGAGCGTCTCCCAAAATGATCCCTTTGAAATCATTATGACCAATGAGGTCGGCGCCACTATACCTAAATTGGAAGCATAATGGAACGCGGATGATGAGAAATTATGGTCGTGTGTTTAGAAAGTAAGGAATGTTCTCATATATGGTGTTGATGAATATTACTGTGTTTCTCATTGTACAACCGCTAAAGCTATGTGGGACGCATTGCAGGTTCCCCGTGAGGAAACCAATGAAATCAATTTAGCTAGAATCAATAATTTTAACTCTCCCATATGAAGCATGGTAAAACCATTACCGATATGAAAAAGAGGTTCACTCATCTTGTAAACCGTTTGAATGCACTTGGTAAGCCCGTTTACAATGAAATTGCTACTAACAAAGTATTGAGATGTCTTAATAAAGAATGACAATCAAAGGTTATCGCAATCAAGGAAGCTAATGATCTATTCACATTGGATACCACTACTTCGTTTGTAAATCTTGAAGAACATGAGCAAGAGCTTATTTTCTTAGAGAAGCATGATAAGAATATTAACAAGGAAAATGAGGTAGACGAAAAGTCTATTGCTTTTATGGCTTCTAGCTCTAAGTACTATACTATAGAGCAAGATGATAATGGAACAAGTGATGATGATTGTTTAGATGATGAAGAAATGAGATTGTTTTTTAGAAGATACAATATGTATCTTAAGAAAAATAGAATGAAGCATTCTGACAAAGGTATTATAAACTATATAAGGAAATCAAATTCCTCAAGGCAAGATGAGAATATGAAATAAAAATAAAAAGTTCATGCTATAATTGTGAAAAGGTCGGTCACTACAAACCACATTGTCCATTGCTTAAGAAGTACAAAAGAAAGGGTCAATACAATAAGTCTGGCAAGCCTAGAAGAGCATACATTGCTTGGGAGAGTTACATTGAATCCTCAAGTGAAGACAACTCAATTGATGATGATGAATTGAAATTTTTTTGTCTCTCATCTCATTATAATAAGAAGAAGGTTAGCAAGCCTAGAAGAGCATATATTATTTGAGAAAGTGAATCCTCAATTAAAGATAGTTCAAATAAATATGATGCAAATATAAACTTTGCCTCTTGGTCCATCAAAAGAAAAAGAAATTATGCCACTCTAAACATGAACCTATTGATAATACGTCTTATTCCAAATTGCAAGTTGCTTTTGAAAAATTACATGGAGAAGCCATAGATGCTTTTAAGAGGTTAGCTTAAAATAAGAGAATATTTTCATATTTAGAAGCTAAAGTTTAGAAACCGAAAAACAAATGAAAGCTCTTAAACAATCCATGTTAGATATTTCAAAAGATAAAAATGATGATAAAGAGCCTTCTTGGTTTGGTTATGACCTTGTCACATTTGGAAAAGAGAGGTTAATACCTTAAAAGCTAAATTGAACAAGGCTTTAGAACCAAATGTCACTTACGCTATTGATTCTACCATATTTAAAAGATCTTTGAATGTGCCATACAAAATATATAAATTTGCTGAAAATGAATAAAATTGCAAAAGTGTAACACCCTAATTCCCTAAAGTAATTTATAAATAAAAATCAGAGTAATTTAAAACAATTAAACAATTAGGATGTCACGCTCACAAAATCAACCCGCTCATACAATAGGATATGTAACACATATGTATAAAAAATTAAAA